TGATGATGATGATGATGATGATGATGATGATGATGATGATGATGATGATGATGACGACGATGGCAACAACTTTTTTAGAGGTTGTCTGACTCCAGAATGACTCTGGGCAGCTTATGCTTAAAATGGAAAAGTAATAAAAAGAAGAACTAATGTGTTCAGGCAAACAATACATCTTATGCCATAGCAAACAAAGAACCAGAGCTCCACAAGGACCCTGCCCCTAGGCCTGGGAGAACAAAGTACTTTCAGACATTTTGGGAATGGATCTGGAACTGATCTCACAATATTGGCTGGTTTGGGAAGCTGTGTCAAATAATTTCTGCTCTGCTGTACTTTATTTGAAACCAGCAGTATTGATATTTTCCTCTGAATTGTTGTGATTTTGCTGAGCTTGTGGGTACGCTACTACCATTCACAGGAACTCTCACCTCACATCTGCTCCTGGGCTCAAGCTAGCTATTACTGTTCCCTTCCCATGCACTCACACACATAGAGGCTCAGATTCTCTTTCTGCAGTGCTAAATATTCCATAATTTAAAAGGTATTTCCTCCATTGTGGCTGGCATAGCCACATGCAACCATGATTAAAAGATTCAAGAAAAATGTCTGCTTGAAAAAATGCTGACATTCTATCATTCTACCTTCTCATACCACAAAAGATATTAAATGCAAGATAGGGATGGTAATTTGGCAACTGGAAAGCCTTTGTGTGCCTTTAGCAAATACACAAATACATGAACTGGAAAATGTGGAGGTGTGAATATTAGTTTTGTTTCTGTGTACAGTGGGGCTGAGGAGAATAATGGTAGCTCATGAGGCAGGGCACTGATTGATACTCAATGAACTCTCCCTATTGGACTGATTGATTGTTTTCTGCATTTCAAATTGACTGTTTTCTGCATTTCAACAGAAGTGAGGAATACTGAAGGACAGTGTTAAACTTTCTATGTGGCTGAAAATGTTGGTGATGTACATTCAGAAATTAAAGGAAATTGCTCAGTAGTGCCTGTACAAATCTTCTGCAAGAGGTTTGGATTTTTGACCATATCATCTTCAGGTCATCTACACTACTGGTTTACAATGGCAATTGGGACCGGAATTGCCATCGCTAAGTGATGCGGTCATAAAACACAATGTCACGTGACTGCATCACTTAGCGATGGCAATCTCAGCAGTCCTGGTTACTGTTGTTAAATGAAAAACATGCGGGTCGTTAAGTGAGGACCTCACATGACTGCAACTTCCGACTTCCTGACGGCTTCCCCATTGACTTTGTTCGTGGGAAGCCATCAAGGAGCATCGAAAATCGTGATCATGTGAGCATGGCTTGCTGTGACATCGTAATTGCAAGCCAGGCACCAAGCACCTGGATCGCAATCACATGACCAAAGGGATGCTGTGACAGCCAGAACTACAAGGACCTGTGGTAAATACCATTTGTTCAACGCTGTCGTAACTTTGGATGATTGTAACCCGAGGGCTACCTGTTACAAGATGTGTAAATATTATCTCCCTTATTTCATTTGAATACATCATTTTATTAAATGATAATGAAAGAGAAATAATAGTATTGTCAAGCCCCTGGGCAAGATTGAGGAAGAGCTAAACGGATTTCAATAAGGTATCTTTAATGCTAGTCTTTGGGTATCTTGGAAACTGCAAGAAGAATTTCCAACTCTCACCTATAGTGAGACTGAGTCTCTTTGAATGATTTGAAACACTTCTTTTGGGGTTTCCTGCCACTAGAGCTGTGTTGTCATTTATAAAATAAGCTGCTAATGGACTCACCTTCTATCTCTTGATTATGTCTACTCTTCTTTCCATTACTTTCCCAGCCTCCCCACAATCTAACACAGCTATAATATCAACAAAATTAACATTGCACAATAAATGCACAATAAGTTTTCAAATTACACCATAATCATTATCATTAGAGGAAGGAAATACCTTTGGAGTACTTCCAGACAATGGTAGGAACAGGATAGCCTTCTGCAGAGCAGTTGAGGATCACAGCTTTTCCATAAATCCCATCTTGATCAATTGGCTGAACCACAAATCTGGGGGGAACTAGAAGAAAACAAAGAAAGTAGGATCTAATCAGGTCATCACTTTGGCTATAATTAGATCATTTAACTGTGATGTTTTCTAGTAATTTCTATTGACCCTCAATCAAAATATTGTTTGGCAAATGATATTAGAAACAAATTTGGCAATAAAAAGCCTGATAATAAAAACTGCCACACTCAGTGGGATGCGTTAATGTCCAAATTAAATAATATGCCCACACCTGATATGTCCAGAGTTCTTTGGTATAGCAGGGGAGGGAATCAATTGTGTTGATTATAATTAATTCTGTGGCTTCCTAGTAAGCCTTTTATAGAACTGCTGTTTTTTTTTTAAACTCCTGCTGAAGCTAGATAAGAATGTGGCCTCCTGTTTGCAGCAATCAGTGCTCTGGCCTTCATTTCCATCTCTCCTTAGGTGGTTACCACCGATATAGCAAGAACATACATCTTATATTTTACTTCAACACATATAATTCTTCAGATCATAAGTGGAAACTCTTAGAACACGGTGTAGTTTGTAGTTGAGATTTTAAAATAATGAGCTACTATCTCAACAGAGTTGACAGTTGCAAATTTTAAATAGTTGAACTTGCAGTATCCTTAAATAGCAATATGGTGACTAATAAACTATAAAAATTGAGACAAGCAGTCATAATGAATGGTAGCACATATATTTTTTGATCTTCATTTTAAAATATAAAACCTTTGTCTGAAATGTCAAAAATGATGAGTGATTTAAGTATTAGCCATGAAGAAGTGTCTGAAGCATCCAAAGCCTATAAGTGGCCTTTGTTTATAAATGCAGAAAACAATTTTCAAATGTTTTTATACATGCAGATTGCATCTTTAAAAACAGAGCAAATTAATATTCTGAAAAGATTGAATATGTGCTTGCCGAACTAATTTGCTGCCTTCACTGAAATCAGGGGACAATTCCTGGATGAACAGGAGGAAGGTAGTTTATCTTTGCAATAGAGTTGTTGCAAGAGTACAAGAAATTAGTGGATAAGGGCTGCCTTTTTATAAAGCTAACATTAGTATTTTTGACTATACATGTTCACATTCACCATTCTCTTGGACAGAAGGATTTTTGATACTCTCCTTTTCTCTGGGAGCCCACTGGAAAGATTAAAATGTGTGTACAATTAGTGACTTAATACAGAATAAAATAAGTTTGTTTTTTGTCGTTGAAATATTAGTACTATGTATTGAGGTATTAGAAATCTAAATTGATGAAAGAAATTCAATTATTCAAAGCAAGTTTTATAAAATGTTATCACAAATGAGGAGTCATTTTTTCTGGCTTAGGAAAACTCTTCATTATAAGTTATTTTGGAATGAGCCGGCTAGAAGAAATTGTGCTGATCCCAAAAAAACTAAGCAGAGTCGGAACTGGTTAGTATTAAAATGGGAGACCACCAGGAAAAAAATCAGGGCAGTGGGCTAGACCAGAAAGTCAGCAAAACATTTCCAAAGGCAGCAACAGTAAGCTACTTATGTAGTGTTGCCAAAAAATGACATGGACACTTCCATGATATCTCAAAAACTCACGCTCAACTTATGGTGGCCATATGGTTTAAGGAAAATTCCTGTCTGAGCTAAAGAGTCATGGAAGGTGCTTGGGAGGAGACGTGGGCATGTTTTCAATGCCTTCTTCTCAAATATGCATTTTATACTTGCTGATTGCCTCTTAAATACAAATGTGTATTTTCCTAGGATCATGCAGTTACCATACAACTCCAAGAAAAGACACACCTGTTAAGGTGTCAACAGGTACAACATCTTGTCTGCTCCAAGGCACTTCTTCAGCTTTGAATGTGAAGCACAGTACATCCCTACTAAACTTGAAGGGCACTCTTTGGGACAAAAGGGATACCTCTGCCATTTCTTCCAGAACCTCTTTGGAACTGATCTGGCCCCCCCCCCCCCCGAGGCATCATTCAAGTATATTTTATTTTCACAGAATAGGTTTTCAGCCATGTAACAAGCAAATCCTGGTGAATTTCACAGTTTATCTGCTGAATGCAGCCTTCTAATTCAACTACTGCTCTTTGCTTCCACTTAAAATATTGTGCCTATAATTTGAGATCAGAGTGCTTTACAAGACCACTTGAATATTTTGGATTTTTAACAAGGGAAGGAGGTGACGGCGGCAGCACAAATAGAAAAAGTCAAGACAAAGCTTACACACAGATCAACAATGCTCATTCCCTTCATCTCATATCTCTCCTATGACCCACTGACCAATCAGAATTGTTTTGGGAGAGAGGGGCCCTTGACACAGAATTGTTGATCTTCCAGTGCTGTGTCCACTGTGTGCCACTGAGGTCTCTGGATTCACAGCCCATGCCAAAATGGCCTTACAGAGCAGTGCCCAGCAAGCAGATGGGGAAGGCTGTGCTCTCAGTAGACTTAATTAACCAATAGGAGCTAGGCAGATCCCTACCCTTGACTGTGTTATTGCTAGCACTGCCACTGAGTCATTGTAGATTGTCTTCTTGGCAATATCTGTGTCAGGAGAAGCAGGAAAATGCCACTTTCACACCAGAACAACTAAACATGACTCCAGGCTATCTCAGTTACAGGCTGGGGATGAAATGGAGGTGACATCATGAGAACAATCTGCCTGATAGAAGTTGTTTTTAACAATCTTTCCCTTATATGTTTTAAAAAAACTATTATTTCAATGGTTTTCAAAATATAACTACTATTAATAATCACTAGATTAACTGTGCCTTTCATAAATGCACACATTTTTGTTTAGATTTTTGAGTGCAGAATGGGGTAGATATTAGTAAACTTAATCCACTATTTTCTTCTTTACCACTACTAAGTCCATTTAAATGGACTCTAGTATCTTCCTCCCACTGGAATCTGTCATGAATTGCTTTTATTTCTGAAATGTACAGCTGAAAGAGATTTATGCTGTCTGAATATGGATTAATCTGCTTTTCTATTAAATGTTTGAATAATTTTATACTGTTCTTCCTTTCCCCTTTTACTGTACGTTGAGAATTCAGTCTCTGAGAACAAATAAATAAATGAAATCCAATTTTTCACAAGTTTATTTCACTACTGCTTAGTTACAGAAATAAGGAAAGTTAGTTTAACTATTTAACACCATCAATATTAAATGTCATCTTTATTTTTACATGACACCCTTTCCTTACCTTTATGAAACATTCAGAAATCTCTGTCAGGCTCTCTAGCTCAGACTCAGCCAAAGCTATTTGATGCATCACGGCTAGATAAGAATTGTTGTTGCATGTCAGGATGCAGCCACTTTAATGTAACAAGGGGTTGCCTTTATCAACGTGAGAGCTTGGTCCTGTCTTATACTCACTGCAGTTTAAATCTGATACTTCTTTTCCCTGATTTTCCCACCACTTCTCAGTCTTGGTGTCAGGTGGCATTTGTCTGTTGGCATAATTGGCATCATGCTTTGGGAAAATCTAACTCCCAATGTAACCCCTACACTCTGGAATACTTGTCACTGGACACTTAATTATCAGCGAATATAGAATACCAAAGAAGTATAATAGAAAGAGCATATTTCCACTAAACATACTTAAAAAGCAGATAATGGGGATACCCTCATTTAAGTTATATTTCATTTATTTATTTAAAATAAACATGCTAAATATTGTATTAATTTATTGGCTCCAGCAATCTATATAGAAAATGATCCCATGACAGTAGACTATTTAGTCACTTTCCAATAAACAGCAGTGGCCTAAGATAAATATGACATTGTTTACTACTTCCATCACCATATATGCTTTCTTGCAGTTGTATAAATAAAAAAAAAACTAGTACAGAATGAATATATTTTTAAGATATTTGCTTCAAATACATCTTTCTCATAAAAAAGTAATATAAATTATATTTGGATTCCATGATTTTATAATACTACATTTATACTGCAGTTAAACATTTTGCCCTATTATTTATTTTAGATTATTTTTCAAACATTCCCATTTTTGGAAAGCTTAAAAGATTCCTTAATTAATCTACTTCCTATTTTAAACTGGATGTTCTGAAAACCTATATAGTGAGATGTTATTTGAAGTTTAGCTGAAAAGGTTTAAGAGTTACTCAAAATACTAACACCTGCAGCCCTGCCTTCTGGTTAATTCAATTCTGTCATGGATTTCTTTTACCTAAAAATGTGATCCACTCAAGCAATTTCTACTGCAACAGAGACAGCAGTAATAAATGGATTCTACAGCTAGTCATTGTCTTACTTCATAATCATCAGAATATATTCATGACATTTACATAACAGTCCGTGTAAATTTCGGAAAGTTTTGTACAAATAAGTTAGGGTTAAGTTGAATTTAAATAAAGCATACATATGAAAAGTTGCATAGAAAAACATGTATTATAGATAGTCACGGAAGTTGCTTATGAAAATACGTACAAAACGTGTACAACAGCAACTGCATTTTTTGTGGAAGTTTTTTTTCTTTTTTTAAATAAATTATTAGTTATGAAAAAGACAGAAGAGCAGGATAATACCTACTGACTGGTAGTGCTAGGAGCCTCTGTCTGGACGCACCTGGATTTGACTCACAGGCTGCCAGTTGAGAAACATCACCATAGCATCACAGTGATAGCAGACACCTTCTTAGTAGCTGAATGACTGATATTTCCAAAACACAAGGCAAGACAGTAATATTCCTTTATTGTAGCAGAATTACACAGCTTGCTTATCAATTAGCATAATTTGTTATTAAAAACGGACAGGCTCAAAGCTAAAATGCTACAGAAAATAATCTAATCATATTTCAAATTCTGTCAACCCACTCTAAAGGTTTTCTGTGTATTAAAACTTGTGGTTTCCAAGTGGAAGTACAAACATTTCCTGACCAGTGACTGCATTTACTTGTAACGTGTTCAGACAAAAGGAATGTGCTATTATTATGGTATACGTGTGAAGAGAAAAGGGCAATTATTGTACACTCTAGTAGCTTGTATTTCCCATCATAATTGGTGTTTGGTAATACTAGTGATGATACTATTGCTACCATTATACTTACCTCTAACAATTAATTGGCTTTGGTGCTCCACAGCTGCTGCATCGTTTCTTGCTATACAGGTATAGTTTCCATTGTGCATAAGGGAAAGATTAGAAATCCTTAAGGAGCTGGTGAAGTCAATGTTGTCAATGGTCACCCCAAGACTGGCTGGGATTGGCCTACCATCCTTCTGCCAGGTGATTGTAATAGGCAAGTCCCCTGAGACCACAACACATGGAATGAAGACTCTCTGGCCAATAGAGAACCTCGGAAATTCAAAGGGCTGGATAAAAGGTGGCACTGGAAAAAAATGTATTGGTCAAAAATTGGTTATTGGTCAAAAATGTGTGACTGTAAACATTAGCAGAAGAAACATTAGCAGAAGAAACATTAGCAGAAGAAACATTAGCAGAAGAAACATT